AATATCACTTACGTAGTGTATTTTCAAGAGTTTAGCACGAAACGGCTTTCTACTCAATACTGGAAAAAGTACTCACCGTGGTCTCACTTTCATTTTAGGCAATGGAGCATTTGTCATCAGCACTAGACTGTCGGATTCCAAGGAGTTCCGCTTCGGTGACGCAGCAATAACATTAGGTTTCTAAAAGAACTGGATGTATTTAATGTTGAATACACCAAAAATATGTTATGGTGAAGAGTTGGACAACAACAATTTCGAACATTTTGTACATTAATTCTGATTTCTACAAATAAGGTACGTTCACGCAGGGTTCAATATGCTGGTAAAAAATCTCCTCATTTATTCACTTTCCTTTCTTTTCTACTTTTTTCTTGTTCACGAAAAACCCTCCAAAACGCTAGGAGATAATAACCAACTCATTGCTGAATTCCGGCGTCACTAATTTGAGCACATTATGCTTTCAACGTACGAGAAACTCCAACACATGTCCACAATATGCCTACCGTATGCCATCAATGCAGAAGATCGCTAACAGTCCATACAGTAAACACTTCTTTACCTATCAAGGTGACGCTTTCGAATCTCTTGCTAGAGTTTGTTTGAACTTCTTTATCGTGAGAAATTCAGCGCTATTATTTTGCCTCACATATCAATTTCAAACAGCTCAGGAGTAACTTCAATGGAAACTACATAAAATTTTGGGCCTAAAAAGTTGTCAAAAATAGGCCAAAAATTTCCGATAGGATCTCAGCCTCTGAGTTTGCTTATTGCGCCAGAATCTCAGACTCATAAAATCCATCACCTTCAATATCTATTACCTCTTCACCCGGATCCGATGGTGCCGGACTGGTTGACGCCGAACTTATCTGTTGTGTACAGTCTCGAGGCGAAACGGTATCTTCGGCGCTAACATTCAGAATGTCAGGATAAGGTCGCCTAAGGCTTGAGTTAGTTTCTATAACAATTTTTATCAGACATCACAGCAAAAATTCTAAAATTCAATATTGTGATCGAAATCTGCTCACCCTTTTTAGCATCTGATCTTCCTCTTCTCATCACAACGCTTTTAGCTTCCAAGATTTTTGAGATACTAGACATCAGACATTCCCACTTTGTAGATGGCATTCTAGGATTTTCAGCCAACATGTGGAGGAGCTGGTACTAAAAGCTGGGAAACTTTGAAAAAAGGCACAAGTATGGGGTCCTCTTTTTTGAACCTTCGACAAATTCACCTTTCTCAGCACTTCGCTGCTATTTTCTGAGTTATCAAACCACTCGAACAGCAGATCTATAGGTGAGCGACGATCCAGAGTCTCTTTTGGTGGTTCTGAAAAACGAGAAAATGAGAGTTCGCAAATAAAGCAATATATCAGATCGAATCAAGCAAATAAAAAATAAATGCGAAATAAAATGAAAAATTGCCGTTACGCGTTTAGGCAAATCACGTAAACCAGTATAAGTAACGCAATTAACTTTTTTATCACTAAGAAAAACTACGATTTCGAAAAAAAATTGATAGCTCAACGAGATACCCTTGATACTGTGGTAGAAACGTCACTGATTTTTGTGCAACAGCTAATTCCAAAAAAATCTATGACCTTCAACGAAGCAGCATCTACTGCTCGTAAGACATGCGCAATCTAGGAAAAAACGGAGAGAATGCGGAGTAAAAATGAGAACATTTGCGTCGAAAATTGAAGTAAAATTCAATGTTAATCCAGTAAGAGCTATAAATTGATTAAGATAGCAAGTACCACTTCAAAAAAGCGAGAAAAGTAGAAATGAAAGTTCTCATGCCAAAGGAAATGAACGCAAAGTCAAAAGTGCAGGCTCAGACAATTCACCGAAATTTCCGCAGGACAAGCCAAATTTGCAGAAGTTCCACAGGAC